TTTACTATGTCCTGTTATCTATATTTTATCCACCTATTTAATTCGTTTTCCTTCAGCCATTGCGGTAGTTTGACTTCTCGCTCTCTCGAAGATTTCGACAAGATCTCGAAACTTGATTTCTTGGCAGCAGCAGATTGAAATCCTTTAAAGAGCTTATTAAAAAGTGTATTTATTTTTACTTTATCTAGTTATGTACACCGTTAAGAAAATTCATAAAATTCTTACACTTTTAATAGATGAGGTTGCAGTAAAATTATAAATTTGATGTCTCAATAGTGAATCAGTGTACATTTGTTATGAAATTCTAAGTAAATTCACGATTTTATAATACTGCGTTGCAATTTTGTGAAATCCCGCAGAAAGATTATGAATTTAATATTGGAAAGTCAATTGGTACGCATTGTTTGGACATTTTTCAGATTACTCTTTAATTTTATCATCGTTTACTTAAGTTTATTTTTAAACAAATTTAATCGAAAGATGACAAGTATCGGTGGTACTGGCGGAAAAGCATCTAAGCGACATCCTTGAGTCCGGGAAATATTTATATAATATTTACATAAAATTCTTACAATCAATAGAAAACTCCGATAGCATCATCCATGATGCTAAAATAGAAGTTACGTCGTCCACAACGTAACTGCTACTTTTCCGTGAGTTCCGGGTTCGATACCATGATAATTTCGTAAAGATTTTTTTCTTTCCTTTTAATGTAGGGCTGTCTCTAAAATCGTTCTCATACGTGCCCGGAATATGTGTCAAATTTGTTTGTTTGCAGAAAAAACGCTTAATATCAAGTATTGATCGACACAAATATATAACATATATCATTAACTTATTACACATATGTACTAAATTTATAATATATAGTGTACATTTTGTGTGAAAATATGTTACAAAATTAGTGAACCACGTCTGAATAAAACTTCCAAGAAAAATGTTATAAAATTATATATATATATTTTTTTAACAATCTACATTTACCCACGTTTTTTATTTCGCAGATTTAAAGGCCTACGGTCGGCGAGACAAAGAGAGGAGCGCACGCGCCCGGTGGAGGCGCAGCTCCAGCAGGTGGCCATTTCGATTTCCACTGCCACCTGTATGCTTCCTCTCTTTCTGGCCGCATTTTCCCGCACATTCCCCGAAGCCCGTCAATCGGACCAAGTTTCCAAGTTAGGTAATCCAAGCCTCTGCCTAAGCCCTGAATACTGCATGCATTAAAGAATGGCCTAAAAATAATATATAAATAGCATATACACCGAAAGCGTAAGGAAATTCATGACCGCGATTTATATATCGTCATCCTTATCAAAGATGCAATCGAAAAGCCCCGTACAATTTTTCCCTACGATGTATAGTTTACCTGTAATAATTAATTGAAACAATAGTGGTAAGTTGTCTCGTACACCGCCAAATCGGGACGAAATCCGTTCGACTAATCGACGATTATTAGGAATGTTTAGAAATGAATTATGACAAACCATGGGTGTAAAAAAGATGTGCAGAATTGTTTGACAAGGATAGCGGTGTATAACCCGTGGGCAGGAATTTTGTTAAACTATACGTTATCTACATAAGAGCATAATATAGGAAGAAGAGTTCCGCTTAACCTGAAAATCCTCTGAGAGACGAAGAGAATCTCTCCCCCGATAATCCGGGAGTATCTCTAATGGGGCGATGCACGTCATTGGTCGCGTATCGTGAAACGCTGATCAATGGCAAGGTGCTTTTGGTGTGTCCACGTTTAATTACGCACATAAATTTCCGGGGCCGTGCAACGAGTTTGCGGGTCCGTTCGTGCAGCACGCGGGGCGACGTTGCAATTTATTCGACGCAAGCGCGCGCGGACGCCATGACAGGTAGCGGCAACCGTGCAAATTGGTAATTGATGCGCCGGGAAGTAGTCGAATTTCTCGTAATTAAAAGTACCTGGTAGCCCGGGAGTAAAATTGAAAAATTGCCGCGAATATCCATCCGAGTAAAATTGAATATTTAACGGAATATTAAAAAGAAACGTCGCGACGAGTAACGCGTCCCGACCCGCGGAATGGTGTCAGAAAATCCACTCGAGAACGCGAATCACGGATTAGTTCTTTCCTCTTCGATTTAAAGGAGGAAGAAACCGTGTGCCGCGTTCCACGTGGTATCTCGGATTGAGGAACTCCCGTAAATCGGCGGCAGAATTTTAGGTTAGGTTCGGTCCATCTCGGGATGGAAATCGCCCCACGTGAGGAGACTGACCAATCACGGTCCCTCGCAAAAAGGTGTCCAACGTGATTCTGGTTCCCCATTCGTTCGGTGGGGTTCGAATCATTCCCGTTTCCCATTTCGGGATAGCCTATGGCCGGGGATTCGGCGATTCCGTAGAGAAGCAAAACACTTTCGTGCCGTGGTTTACGGCGAAAAGGCGGCAAAATGGCCGGACGATCGATTCGGCGGGCACATACTCAACCATAAGAGGGCGCAAATGAACGGGGCATAAAAATAAATGTTGTGCCGGGGCTTAAATGGCGAGACAGCTGAGCGGCGATTGCCGTGCGCATCCAGGTCTGCGCATACGCGCCAAAACCGGGCCCGAGGAGGCGCGTGAATTATTTATTATCACACACTTGGCCCAGTTTAAGGCGGGCACGTACGAGCGCGACGCTCGCCGATAATTTCGCGCGAGATTCCATCGGGGCATAACCGGTATATCTGATCCGCCAGCGGAAGTCGGACATGTAGCTACTTACATTAAGACTCGCCCCTGTGACTCGGAACGATTCCCTGCCAATTTGCATTTCCCGCCTTTCCACGAGGGTGCGTTTCGAAAGCGCGATCGAGCGAGCTCACGCGACGACAGCGCCTCTGACGTAGAAATCTTGTACTTTATATATAGGAATCCCGCTCTAAATGCATTTTCAATAACCGATTCACGATTTATAACTGAATTTGGGTGAAAATCCGAACTATGACAACCCATTTTTCCATGTCAATGAAATTTCATTCTGTCAGATAGTTCTTGTGTAATAATCTGAACATTCCTGTGCTCCAGATACGAATTCAAGAGTAAAGGTGCTCGAATGACTTTTCGTTCTCTCTCCTTCGTCACGGATATCGAGAGACAGCTGGCTTAAGGTGATTACTCGTCTAGGAATCCCTTGGATGTTTCCTTCCACCCCAGCGCTCCAAGCGGCGGCTCGACGACTCACGACGGTCCCTTTTATTACCACTTATTGCCTCCAGATCTAAATGCCACCAGCCGGCAGCCTAGATTTATGCCTTAGATACCCCTAGACCTGAGGATATTTATTCTCCCCCTAATTACGAACACTTCTGAAACAATTCCGCCCACGGTCGACCTTTATGTGACGAGTGGTTAAACCGCAAAGTGGTAAAAATGACCGCATTAAGGGATAATCATCGGCGACAGGTGTTATGGAGCACATTCTCACTTTTCTTTAAATCGATGTCTCTAGAGCAGATATTCGGTGAAATATTAACCCGTAGCGATGAAAAAACACATAGGAAAGAGAAGATCGATATTATTTTACAAGTCTTGTTAATATATTTGCTTAAATTAGGGTTAAGTCAATTGAAACAAAAATAAGTCGCGTTCGTGAAGATTCGCGAACCGGTGGCGCCATCTACGGATTTACTTGGTAGTATTATACATTGTCAGTCGGTAAATGTTACCAACTGCGATCGATGCTCACTTCAGCGTCCTTGCTGATACATTCAGGACCTTTTAAAACTCCTTTGAAATATCAGCAGATAGCGAAGAAGTTGAACTTCGTTATCGACGAATGGAAAACACGGTCGACGGATATTCAGCGCATCGTTTTCCACAAAATTTAGGGAGATATAGAAGAGCCCAGAAAAAAAAAGGATTAACATTCACTCCTACGTGAATAGAAATCTCAATATTTTATATCCAATTTCAGGAAGGGTCTGATAAAGTCACAATTTCTCAGGAAATGTGATCTTTGGGAGAAACAGGAGATTTACAATATTTGCATGAACAATAACGAGCAAAGTATATTATAAGTTAACGTTTACGAGAAAGCAGAAGCAAAGTTTCGAATTCAATCGAAGTTTTGACCCTATAAAGGCACCTCAAGGGAAACAGACGGTACGTAAGTGAAGAAAGAAAGGTAATACAGGTTTACTGTATCGCAGAGGAGTGGATCCTGCTCGGCAAGAGAGGTTAAGCCACTTTGAAAAATAAGAAGTGCAGTAAAAATCCAATTCCCTCCTTCACCTCCCTCGTCCGGCTCTGGCAAGCCTCAAGGACTAAAAATTCAGCCTCCGTGGATTCAGCCAACAGCGCATTAAAGACGAGTCCCAGATCTCATTTGCTTTATTTGAAAAGGATCACTGCAAGATTCCAGCCGAGTACATTACCTCCTCCCGTGCGTTTGCGCATGTTTCATAAATATCCTGCAGCCACGGAATTAATAGAGTAGAAAAAAATAAAAGAGCTCCTTCAATTTTCAACATTCTTCATCCACATAATCTAAGCCATACACTAACTAATAAGATAAACTTTCAGAGTGGGAAACACAATCAATGATAACGATAACGAGGTTGAGCAATAATGTCGAAGTGGACGAGATCCTGCATTTGTAAGCAAACTTCATACATTAACAAAAGATTTCATCACCTCATATCCTAATTGGATGCACCGAGGGAAAAGAAATGGATTCCACATAAGGCTACGTAGCTTGTATAATTATTCTATCCACCTTATCATATCTTTTTTAGGGACAAATGCAGATTTCCCGCTTAGGGTGGTACTTGTTTAATCTATGATTTTGTTCTTGTATATTTCTTCAATGTTCCAACGTGTACGAGATGAGTGGTGTCAATTTCAACAAAGAACTGGGGAATTGAAATCCAAAATGGCGATTATCGCCTACCCGGAGCCGGGGTTAACTGAAAAAGTGCCTGGTTACCGGCGGCTGGAACCTGATATTCCCTCGCAACCCTGAAGATCCAGGAGCTCTGCAAAAATGTGAATGCCGACGGCCGCCGGGAGCCCGTTGGGCCCGAAGTCTGCAAGTGTAGGGCCCACTAACACAAGTCTTGGCCAGTGGCCGGCAGAAGTCCAAGCTAAGGCTAAGAGCCTCTTCGGTCTTGGCCGAGACATTCGCCTCGCGACCGCGACCATGAGAGCACTCAACTCTCGCCGCCCACAGCATCTCCTCATCAGGTCCATAGCCGTGGTCCTGTTGCTCCTGTCCCAAGAGACCGTGTCCAGAAGCGTCCCATGGGAGGAAATCCCACAGAGAGAAACATCTAAATTGACGGAAAACGCGGAACCAAGTACCAGCGATGAAGGAGGTCCCATAGGTCCAGAAGGAGGTCCTGGGGTCCAGGTTAAAATCGAAGGGATCGCAGGTGACCAGATAGGAGTCCAAGCAGGAACCAGGGGGTCGGTCCAGGCAGATGAAGGCCTTCAGGGAGACACCAAGATCCAGGAAGCCGAGGCTGGGATACAGGTAGGGAAGCAGGAGGTACCAGTGGGTGAAGTGACCAAGTTCTCTAGAAGTGAACCCACGAGCGGAGGTCTGGTCCAGGTGGAAGAGGTTGCAGGGATTGAGGCATCAGCTGGGGACCAGGGTATCCAGAGGGACGAGACGGAGCCAGCTGATGGGGGTGAACAGGTACGGTCGGTTGTAGGGGGTGAAGCGACTCCTCAAGGGGTTCCTCAAGGTTCGTCTCAAGAGCTGGTCAAGCAAATTCAAGCCAGGAGTGTCTGGGATGTGAAGCCTGCTGATGAAGTTCGGAAAACGGTGAGGAGCGATGCTTCGGGGATCAGTGATGGAAATGTCCCAACACAGATCAGGGATGAGCAGATTCAATCGATTGATGGGGGTACTCTTCAGAATTCCAAGATCTACCAGGAAGAGGCGAAAACGGAGCAGGTGGTAGGCTTGGAGAAGGTGGATATCCAGAGTAAATCGGGACCTGAGATCAACTCTCACGAGTCCCGGAGTATAGAGGGTGAGGGAATCCGAAGGTTCGACGTGGAGATTCATTCCGAAGATGATGAAGATAAAAGGGTGGAAATAGATGTCGAAGGACCGGGGAAACCAATACAGGAATCGGTTAAAATCACCGTGCTGGATGCGAGAGGGGATGAAAATTTGAAATCGGAAATCTTCGCAGCTGATGACCAGGAAGAGATCCGCATAAAGAAGCTGGATGATGGGGGTTTGGGTAAGGAGCTCGAGATCGGGGAGATTGACGGGTCTAGCATTAAAAGTAGGAGGAAGGGACACAGGGAAGATGGTCTTAGAAGTATCGAGATTGAGAAAAAGAGCGCAACGGATGAGATTGACGCTGCGCATGCCGAGGTGGGGCAGTCGGAAGCGGAGCGGATTCAGGATGACGTCTCTGGACCGAAGATTTCTGGAACGCACCAGGACATAACCGAGGCAAAGGCTGCTCCAGTTGAGGTGGGAGCTGGTATTGATGATGATCACCGGTCAGGAGTTCGCAGCATCGTTGAAAATACCGAAGAGGGGGAGCCGGCTCAGCCGGAAAAAATTGAAGAACAAGACAGCAAATTACTGGAAGCGCACCATGACCCAGTTGTCGAGGAAAAATCAGGGTCGATCGGCAAAGAAACGGAAGCGGATCATCATCAGGAGCAGCCATCACCTGCGCAAAGAGAAGATCGATTTCTGGAGCCGCGAGATGAAGCGACCCATGAGCGGTTTTCAGGGTACTTGGGCGCGGATGAAACTCAACCTGGGCTACAAGAGTCAATCGTGGATGGTCAGATAAGGAAATTGATTTCGATAAGGGACGACGCAATCGGTATCGTTACCGAGCAGGACGACATCCCTGATACCCACGACAGTGGACCGATGGGGACCAGGAAAACCTTAGGGGTCCAGGAAGAAATCGGCCTTTTAAATGTCGAGACACCCGAAGAAGATTCAAATGATGGAGCCACTTCGCCTATAAAAGAGCAGAGCGGTAACTCAGGTAACACCATTGAGAGCAATTCCAGGATTCAACGTTGGATACGAGAGGCCACCCTTCTCCAGGAGCAGATAAAAAACCCGTCCTTCATCAAACGCCTCAGGGAACAAGCCGTGGAAGTCCTGCCGGAGATTCCCAAATTCACAGAGTTTCAGCTACTGGACGCTCTCAAAACCGCCGTATCGCTTAAAACTCCGCAAGCTTTCAGAGAGTCCCTTTTCAACTCAGCAGAGTTCAGCACCCTGAATAGCACGGAATTGGAGATCCTTAAATGCGCCGAACAGCTCGTCGCGGTCAACGAAAGGCAATCCTTCCAGGAGAACATGCTGAACTGCATCCGGGGGCTGAGCGTGGTGAATTGCATGCGCATCTTCGTCTTCCCTCACCTAGGCGAGAATTTGCCGCAGAACCTCTTCATGGACTACTTCACGCTTCCGGTGGAGATCAACGTGAGCGACTGGCTGAACAGTACAAGGAGGAAGAACAAAACAAGCAGGGCTGATGTGGCAAGCGAGGGCGAGAAGTTCCTGATACCAGAATTGATAGTCCTGAACATCCTGAAGGATGGTCTGAAAGCTCACCCAGATGATACGAAAGCGGTGTCCTTTATTGCAGAGAAGAACGAGACTCTGGTGAAGCTCCTGACTCCGGGGCAGATAAAGATCCTTCAGCTAGCCGAAAGGTTCCTTCCCGAGGCGTCGCGTAAGGACTACTCCGACAGGATGTTCTCCTGCGTCAGGAGGTTCGAGTACTTCAGCTGCGTCAAGTACTTTGCCTGGCCGTTGGTGAAGCAGTACTACCCAACGCTTCCGAGTTTTCCAGACTATCAAAGCTGGTATCCAGGGATCCCTGTCTACCCTGAGTACCCCATTCTGCCGTTCCCCAGCATCTCAGCAGAAGTTGGTCAGCTCCCAGAAATCGTAGACGCCGATCCGACCAGGGCTACCAAGCCGCATCAGGACGCCGCGATCGTCCACATTCTGCAGAACACTCTGAAGGCGTATCCCGGGGTCCCAACAACACCCTCGTATTTCAGCCCCAGCAGTCCTGCCGCTCTGAACCTGATAACGCAGGATCAACTCACAGCTGTGAGGATGGCAGAGCGACTCCTGCCCGTCCCCATCCGCCAGGAGTTTGCATCTAGGACCTTAAAATGCATCCAACAGTTTAACTATCTATCGTGTGTCAAGTACTCCACGTGGCCGACCATCAGACAGTTCGCGCCTGAACTTCCCTCTTTTCCTGATTTCTCTGACTGGGTATCCGGGATTCCGGACTACTTTGGGTTCCAGGATTTTCAAGGCTTCCCGGGTTTTGAGGGATTTGCTGAATACTTCCCACAGTTCCCTGGTCTCCAGCCTGCTCCTCCGACTCAGGGGGGACCGGTCGAAGGTGTTCCGGTTGAAGGTGTCGCGGTTGAAGGTGTCGCGGTTGAAGGTGTCGCGGTTGAAGGTGTTCCAGTGGAGCAACCGGCCATCTTCTTAAGGAAACTCAATGGTACTCCTGTATCGTCCGAGAATTTGGAAGCTAAAGTGCTGAAGATACTGAAAGACATCAGAGATTCTATGGGAAATCCTCCCACTAGTCCATCGGTTGTCTCGGATAGGAACATACTGGTCTTGGCCACCATCACAGAGAGGCAGCTGAACGTGGTCAAAGTGGCAGAGAGCATTCTGCCTCCTGCTGCTCGCGTGGACCTGATCAGCAGAGTGGCTGGGTGTCTCCAAAATGATAACGATTTTATCAACTGCACTAGATACGTCATCTGGCCTTCGGTTGGACTCTACGCATCAGCATTGCCAAAATTTCCCGAGAATGATGATCAGTTGTTGAAAGAGCCTGCAACTTCGGGAGAAATTGATATCTTGAAGATGGGGAAGGAGCCAGAGTCGTCGATCGAGGGGGTCGAAGAGGCTTCTAAATTGGAAGGTTCGTCCAGGAAAGCTGTCCGGGAAGAGGGAGTGCCCCGGAACCGAGGGGAACACTTGAACAGCGGACCTGTGATCAGCGTAACTGGGACCAGATTCGTCCCTATCTTCACTGATCATCCTGAAGCGGTGCTCCTCAACATCCTGAGCTCCATCCAGACATCTGCTCCAAATTCGCAGAATGCCAACGAATTGGTATCCAGCAGGACTCCAGAGTTTCAGAACTTCCTCACTGAGCAGCAGAACAACATCATTCGCATCACCGAAACCTTGCTGCCGGAGCAGGTCAGGCCTATCTTTGTCTCCAGGGTATTGGAATGCGTCCGTGAAAACAGTTTCCTAGATTGCTCCAGAGAAGTCCTGTGGCCTTGCTTGGCGGAATTCTATCCCAGGTTACCAGGCTTCCCGAATTTCGGGAACCAGGCTTCCATCGGGGGTCCAAAGCTCCCCCCTAGTGGTTCAGAGCAGCTCTCAAAGGACGGTCTGAATACAGAAACGTCCATGATTTCGGAAAAAATTGGCCAACCAGGAGATGGAACCGTCATCATCACCGACACCAGGTTCATCCCAATCTTCAGCGAACAACCAGAGACCGTGATCCTCAACATCCTGAGGACGGTCCAGGCTGCGACTCCCACTTTACCGTCTTCTGCAAGTTCCTCCATAACCAAAACTCCAGAGGTTATTAAAACTCTAACTGAACAGCAAAAAAGCGTGGTCCAAGTAGCCGAGAGTCTTGTTCCAGAATCGGTCAAGCCGGTCTTTGTGAAGTGGATGGTGGAGTGCACCCAAAACAACGTCTTCCTGGTCTGCATGAGGGACATAGCTTGGCCGACCATTGCTCAGTTCTATCCCAGGCTGCCGAGTTTCCCCAATTTCGGATCCACCCAAGGAACCCAAGGAGACAAACCAGCGACTTCCGTTCCATTGGAATATGGGAACCTCCAGCAAGGACCACCAGCGGTTATCCTAATTCCAACGTTCGATGCACAGAAACCCATTCCGCCGTCCATCATAGAACTGGAGACGACATTGAAATCAATCTTATCAGACACCTTAGCTATTCGGTCAGGGGTTTTTCGTCGGAATCCTAATTTAGATACCCAGAATCCAGCCATTGCTGCGCTGATCACTCCGGAACAGGCGACCATCATCCAGTTGACGTATAGCCTGTTGCCGGATTCAGCTAAGCCTGATTTTGAAAATAGGATACTGGACTGCATCCAGAGCTCCAGCTTCCTCTCCTGCACCAGATACATAAGTTGGCCGTCGCTGAAACAGTTCATCCCAGATTTGCCCGACTTCACAGCCTTTGAAGAGTACCTTCCCGAGACCCCACAGTACCCGTTTCCAGAAATCCCAACGCTTCCCCAGCTCCCCAGCGTTCCTCAGCTACCATTTGGAGAGACTCTGCCACCCCTCCAGCCGGAAAAGGAAGAACCTATTGACACCAGCAAGAATGTCAGGCCCATCCCTGCCTCCAACATCCAGCTGGAGAAGGAACTAGAGACCTCGCTGAAAGAAGCCTTATGGTCGCATCAGAAGACTCCGGTTCAGACATCGTATTTCGACACAAGGAATCCAGTAATCGCTGCTCTGGTGACTCCTCAGCAGGCGAGTATCATCAGACTAACGGAAAGTCTCCTTCCAAGTCTGACGAGGCCGAAATACGTCAGAAGGATCGTGGACTGCCTCGGAGGAAATGGATTCTACTACTGCACCAGGAACGTTAGTTGGCCGACCTTGAAGCTGTACTATCCAAGTCTTCCTAGTTTTACGGTTTTCGAGAAGTACATCCCTGAGATTCCGCAGTTATCCTTCCAGGAGATCCCAATCATCCCGGAAATCCCAAACTTTCCTCAGGGTCTTGGGATCCCTAGCTTTCAGCTTGGAGATGGCCTGAACCTCTTTCAGCCACAACCAGAAAGGCCAAAGCCCACTCCTCCGTCCACTGCCCAGCTGGAAGAGAAGTTGGAGGCACTTTTGAATGAGACTCTAGCCAAGAACTTTAAGACAGTCATTCAGGATCCCTCTTTCGATCCAAGGTACCCAGGCGTTGCTGCCCTGGTCACTCCAAAACAGGCCAGCGTCATCATCTTGTCTGAAAGTCTGATCCCCAACTTGGCTAGGCCCGCCTATGCGGGGAGGATGGTCAGATGTCTGCAAGCGTACGATTTCCTGTCGTGCACAAAGTACCTCAATTGGCCAACGCTGAAACAAGTCATCCCGAATCTGCCCGACTTTTCGATTTTTGATGAGTACCTCCCGAAGGTTCCGGTATTCCAATACCCTGAGTTGCTACCAATCCCCGAGCTTCCAAGTTTCATCGAGCCGCCTTTTGTAGAGATCCCAACCTCCTTCCAACCTCAGGAAGGACCTAATGTCACAGGTAACAAGACGGATGGAGACCAGGACAAGCAACAGACGGGACCATCCACTTCTTTGAAACCTGATGGAGAGCTTGAAGACGGCCCCAAGAAGGAGAACACAACGGCAAGTGAGACTTCATCTCCGTCGTCGGAGATTCCAGGGTATCCTGGTCAGCCTCCAGAAATCCCTTTAAACATCTCCACGGAGGAAGTGTCTTTGCCAGAAGGAACCCAGAAGGGCTTGAACTCCACCCCACCAGCTAAAGCAGCTGAAGTTACGTCCAGCAGGAAACGGAGGAGCGTCGTTGACCTCTTCGACAGCTACTCATCATCCAAAAAGGATCAGGAAAGTCAGAACGATAAGAGGGATGCAGATTCTGGGACTTTTCCGAACATCAACGAGTCTCAGTTTCTTCAGCTCTTGATCAACGTCTCGAAGTCAAAGGCGAGTAAGGATTTGACGAAGTTAGACCACAAGGAGTACTACGTAGACACTTTGAATTCCACCCTGAGGCACTCTTTGACCGCCGATCAGTACGAAATCCTGAAGCTGGTAGAAGACTTCAACGGGGAAACTGCGAAAGCCGGGTTCATGTCGAAGGTGATTCAATGCATTCGAAGTCTGAGTTTCATCAGGTGTGTCGGAATCTTCGTCTGGCCGATGATCACCAGCAACCTGCCGTCCATAGGACTGCCATCGGTCGGCGGATTCCTGCCCTTAGGGAGAGCTCAGGAGACGGAGATCCAGGACTTCTTCGGCATGTCCTCCACGGACTTTGAAAAAGAGCTGCTGTCCAGAAAGGAGTCCATCGAGGGCATGTTGCTGGACTGGTACAAGTCCTTCACGGAGGAAAAATTTGAAAAGGACTGGGGCCTTTTTAGGATCAAGGGGTACGGGAACGGGGAGCTGGGTGTTAGCATAGCTGGTTCCCGAACTGGTCGCGCCAAAAGGATCAAGGACAATAAAAACCTGCCCAGTATCCTGACGGTTATAAGCGACCTCATGGAGGACTTTTTCGAGCAGAATGAGAAGGCGAAGAAGGAAAGCTCCAAGAAGGAGAGGAGCATGGGCTCTAGCATCGATTCCGCGGATTATCAGACTCTAAAAGATTCGGACGAGGACGAGCGGCTCGAGGACGATCAGCTGTTGCTGACGTTCTTGGACAAGATCCAGACCAACTCGACCAGCGTTAAAGAAGCGGACATCGGTGAACTGTTGAATACGGAAAACGCAAACGACGCGTTCGAGATCCTCTTTGGTACCAGGATTGGGGCGCGGATAGCTAACAGGCTGAAGGAGCTGAAAGAGGACCACCTTAAGACCCATGCAGACGCTCCTTCTAAGGACGCTGTTGGGGAAGTGGAGATCGTCCCCTTGGAGGCTGAAACCGAGGAATCGGATTTCGATCTTAGAGTCATCCCGTTGGAGACTCAAGTCACGTACGACCTGGCAGTGGATTCTGCCGTTCCCCGCCATTCTCAACCCGACCGAAGGCAGGAGGACACCAAGAAGGAGGGAGCCCAGGTGTTCAGGGCCTTCCTGGAGGAACATGCGAAAAGTTCCGAGGATAATAGACGAGCTGGTCAGCCTGCTGGAGTCAATCTCGAAGACAAGAAGCCGAAGAACCGATCCAAGGCCATGTTCAGGTTTAGGACCAAGGATGGCTCCACGGAGCTGGCCTTGCAGCTGCCCAGACTCTACGAGGACATCATTCCTAGGAAGATCACCAGCTCCCTGATCCACGTAGGTCGCGACATAAAGAACAAGATGTCGCAGATGATGCCTGGAATTGGCATGGTGGTCTCGTTTCTGATTCAAATGGCACTCGCCCATGCTCGCGCGGCAGCTTCCATTGCTGGAATGGTCAGCAACATGGCTCTGGGCTCCGCCATGTTCAGCATGATCCGCCAGTCTCTCTTCGGCTCATCTCAGCCGAAAATCAAATACGTCTTCGAGGAAAAGATCACACCTGCAGAGGGCTGGCCGCAGGACCATCAAAACTACTATTATCGTTAATCATGGAAGCCTTGCACTGAGGAAAAAAAATAATTCTTTGACTGAAACAAATGTATATTGTTGCCCTAAACATATATAATGGCAAGGAACAATTATTCAATTGAGTAGAAAGATTTATGTCGATTTATAGGAATTTTCTTTAATCGGTCTGACACTTCTTTGGACGTACTTTTTGTCGCAGGATTTTGTTCTCGCGTTGCATATTTCTTTGAGTCGATCGACTTTTTCTCTTTTTCTCAGTGTAATGACACTTTTTAATGGAGGCCTCATTTGATCATCAAAATCCGGGGTTTTCGAGATATTCAGTTTCCCAAGACTGGTTAGAAGATCCTGTTCCCTAGTCCGAAAAGGCATTTCTATGATATCGAAGCAAATCGTGATATAGCGATGTCACGAGACAGTGATTTTACGTTCACTTTATTTGGGAACAGTTAACCCTTAAATTAATAATGCTGTAAAATACTTCAGGTTAATTTTACTTTTATGTCCTGGAGTGTACTTTGAAACATTTCTTTGTTAAGTAAAATCAATTTTCTTTTGTATGGGCGCAGTTGGTATGCATTATCGAGTGATATGTATACTTTGAAATTGTTCGTTGTTTATTTGAGGGTTGACGTCTTTTGAAAAATACGGTAAAGGGTAGAACGGTTTTTGTGGCGATTTTTTTTTTCCAGGATTTGATATAAGGGATTGTATCATGGAGGATGTAAAAGACTTGAACAAATATTGATTTGTTTTTGGGTTTTCGGTGGCGGGTAACTTTCTACGTGTATGATCTCCTTTTTCTCACTGTTCAGAAATACACTAGCAACAGTTTAGAACATAAGCTATTATTAGTAGCATCCTTATTGATATTAATACTGTAAGTTGCGACCATTAACGTGTGAGTATAATTGTATCACTTATACCGTGCGACCATAACTATAAGTGCTGATTATTGTTGTAATGTGACGTATTAAAAATTACACCATGTCTGTACGATCATCGGTTTATCATTTTTTCTTAATCCTTCCCTTACCCGTTGATATCGGACGTCTGATAAATTACCGCTGTTCAAGATTATATTTGAAAACCTCCTGATAGACATAATGCTTCATTTCATGAATTTATTCAATTTTATTTAATTTGAAATCATTCCTTTCAAGATGTACGCAAGTCTGCAATGTTTCCCTCTTTTTGTAAAACTGGTGCCACGTTTCTTCAAGAAGTTAAATCCGTAAAGTGCCCTTTGTAAGTCGCAAGAACGTTTTCTTAGGGGTATGACCGGTCTGCAAGGTGTCAAGGTCATTCCTTAACCTCAGGGCAGTTTCTGGCGAGCTCCGCAAGATGGCGCCGCCGTCGAGTCTTATTTTTATCACCGCGGTTGCGTGCATTCCCCCACAACAATTCCTCTCCAAGGTGGATAACACGCAACCGGGGGTACATTGACCTCTTGACTGATTTAAACGGAGGCCGAAGAGTTAATTGTAAAACACACAAATCAAAGCCAGGGTCACCGGATCTAGAGCGATTTGGTCCTTTTATGTTTTCCTGGGTGCTCGTAAAGGGCCTCAATTATTTTCTGTTCACCTTGGGCGATGCAAATGAATTGTAACAGAGTCTGTGGAGGAACCCTGGAGGAAAATTTACACGTAGAGGTATCGAACGTTTCCATCGCGTTTTCAGTTTCGCTTTCAGCCCACACGAAGGAAATTGTTTCAGGGAATCTCGCAGGAAGTGTAGAAAAAGAAAAAGAAAATAACAGCTTCGAGAGAGAAATTTCCATTATGAGAGACGCCATATTATGCAGATTCAATTGCCGTGTATACCTGGTGTCGCACATCTTAGGAATGCAAATTGTCGTCTTCCGCTGAAACGGATTCATATTAAAAGGGCGATAACCTCGACCCTCCACTGGGGGATGATAAGAAGTAGAAAGAAAAAAGTGGAACTCGTTTCATAAATGGTTTGGGCAAACCTGGCCTTCAGCCGTAATATTTGAAGATAATGTTATAGCGTTGGTAACAGAATATGATTAAAATGGAAAACGTCACCGAAATGGATTCCCTCTTTACCGACAGAAGATTATACGACTAACTCTTCACAATTTGTACTGGCTTGATGAAAGGTACACCAGATGTCGCCACGATGCTAGCTTCTTGTAAGTTCTACCGACGGAGCATAATCTCTTCTATACCTTATTAGTACTTCCGCCATTTTATTAATTATTAAACTAATGATATTAATGTTCAGCTTGTCGCCCTACATTTCTGCGTGCCTCCATTTTACCAGAATTCGTGTCACAATCTCTTCCCATGCTAATTGAGGACAAAGTCGCACATAATCCATCACTCTACTTGTTGCTCTTTCTCCGCCCGATTCCCATATCACACGTTCGAACTCACTTTCTCCGTCATTTCCCAACATTATCGGCACGGATAACACTCTGCTAAATTACCAGCACTGAACAAACCCGCCGATACAAGAGTTCCCAGAAATTAAGCCAATTAACTCGGTAGAATAGAATGGAAAGATAAAAGTAGTGAAAAGGCAAGATGGCGGCGGGTGATCGACGTATCGACTCGGCGATTACTTTCACTTCCATCGCCCAATTAGCGACGAGGATTGGAGACCCCTCTACCAATCCGCGTCGCGTTTTCCCTTAGATCCGTCGGGTGGACCAATGAGGACGCAGTTTTAGGATTCAAAACCGTTACCGATATTTGACCGATAAAACGATTTCTTAATGGCCGATTGCTCTCGCGGAAAGCAACGGGCCTCGGGAATGTAAAGGCACAAGTCCGGGAAAGGACAGCGTGTATCTACTGCCAATGAGGAGGAATCTTTAGCTCTGGGTATAGAGGTTAGGTACGAACAGCCTTTCTCTTCGCGGCTGAGTTTCAGCTCTCAGTTTCTGTACCAACGTCAACCAGGAACCACCGGAGAATGTCCTGACCAAGGTCCAGTGAACGTGTTCTCTTCTTCCCTTTTTTTCTCTGTCTCTTTTCCCAAGTACGTCTTCGGCAGTATATCACGCCCGGAATTTCTCTCTCTTTCGTCTGTCTAAGTGTATTTTCCCAGTACGTTCTTTCTCGTAAACTCCGCATTCGAGGGCAAGGCAATATATATTTTACAAATTTGGGTCTCCCCGCTTTAACGGAATTGAATAAAAGAAAAATAGAAAAATCGTTTTACGCGCTTCGTCCGGCTTTCCGCTATCGATTGTTCCTATTCCTCGTCATTATTTTATCCAGGTTAAGAGGACGTCTGCCTCCTCTTTCTCTTCTTCTACGTGCGTGACTCGAGTCTTTACGCTCTTCTACGTTTTCCTATTTCTCCAGTTACTCTACGTATCGGTATTTACTAACTGTACTTGGAATTCTTATTCCCGCTTACTTTGCACTATTTATTAATGCACCTGATGCGCTACTCATTTTACATCCTGTTTGCTCCCTTTCCTTGTTAATTTACATGTGACGTGTCTATTATACATATACGAGTCATTTTATTTGTAAAGTATCGCTTTGTTACTTTGTTAAGTGCGCGTGTGCGATAATCTGTCAGATACACGTGGTGATTACACATGGTCGCGTCTATGATACATATACGATTCATTTTATTTGAAAAGTACCGCTTTGTTACTTTGAAAAGTGCGCGTGTGCGATCATCTGTCAGATACACGTGGTGATTATCCATGGTCGCCATATTTGATGTACCGAGGACGGTGACTTCAATGCGCGGACCCGCAATGAGTCTCGCAGTAAATCGCTCGACAATATAACAGCACACATGACATACAAATTGCAAAAAAATATATAAATGCGTATTCCACCCTCTCGGAAGAAACTAGCAATTACATCACATTTAAAATAAATGTTATTTCTATTAATATACTCCTTTATCCAGACTTTCTATCTCGCGGAGATACTATAAAAACTTAATAATATCGCGGTAAATGCAATTATTTTGCCTTCGAAAGTGGCCTTGATATCCGGTTTTGTTCCCCTTTCATTGTCATGTGCCAGTAAACCGGAAAAATGTACGCTAGAGTAGCTGCAATTGTACCCAGACCACGTTCACCAGAAAAAAGATAATTACAAATCATAAACATTAAATGCGATTTATTGACGATTATTACTGACATCGACCAATGGATGTTGCAAAAGAAAATGACTAAGTCTCGATGAAGACACTTTCTACAATTTTATGTTTCACCGTTACTGAAAATTCGGTTAAATAATCGTTTATATGTTCTTGCATTGCAGATAAACCGAAGTTTTCCGACATTTCCATGAACTTCACCGTTATTGAAAACGAAGCGGCGTAAAAAATGGATTGCGTGTCGGTAAACATTGCGAGTTTTTCTCGAAAGCGGCCTTAATATCGAGTCCTGTCCTCCTCTCATTGTCATGTTCCAGTAAACCGGAAAAGTGTCTGCTCGAGTTACTTTAACTGTACCGAGAGTAGTTCTTAACTTTTTGCCGCGTCGGACACGGATATTAAGTTAACGCGAATACTGGGCCACGTATGTTACTGCACGGAGAATTGCACGATCATACGATCAAATAGACTGCAATTGCGCCGATAACTATATACAACCTGTACGGTGTTCACCTGCACGCATTTCGTTTCATACGACCTCCATATTGCATAAACCTAATGCAAAACTGGTTCACCGTGCCTTTCTTTTCACTCGGTTCTAAGTATGATTTTACTGCAGCTGCAGTTGCACTGCAGATTTCATACAACTGATTATATCAGTCCGTAATTTCTAGACTTTAATTAGGTACAAGGACGTGTAATTAAAGTTTTGCACAAGCTCGGTATTAATTTATTCGAAATACATTCAATACCGCATTTTGGTGCAACGTATGGATTTTCACTGGAAAGCAGAGGATTTATAATAAATAATCGAACCGATTGGCAAGAAATGATAATTCTCAATATTTTTTAGGTGATTGGGAGCAATTGACTCGTGTTGTTTTTTCTTTTAATCAATTTTTATTGGGGATTAAAATAGGAAGCGACTCTTTGTCGTCAAAATCAAGATGGCGGCCCTCTGGACGGCATCGCCGTGCAGAAACTGGGGACCGTTTTGTATTCAGCTTACGTAAATAGCGCTATTCGCTCGAGTGCGCACTTAGATGAGAAAAAAGATCGAATGAAAAGTCAAAGTCCACCGACAAAAATTCGTCAAACTTGTCGAGTGCGTCCGTCGACCTCCTGCAGCCATATTTGTAAACTCGTCGCACGAGTAACTGTTAGGTATATTCATATCCAGGAGGAAATCTCGACACAGTCCAACGATCATAGCGATTTGTGTATCAACAATATATACATGGTCCCTATTTTATGTAAAATTGAGAGAATTATTTCCCAGGAAATAGCGGCGCGATATTCACGTCTGTAATCTACACTTTGAAATGAAGAGATCGAAGGAAGGAGGCAATTTATGAACTCATCAAAAGACAATTTGCGGGGATATTTTCAAGCACGAGGATGAGTCATTTCCGTGGGTGGTTGTTTATGAAAAAGGAAATGTCTTTAGACACGTTAGATCATCAGGAGTCTATAGTGTCAAGTTCATGGACCTCTACAATTTTTTTATATTTTTAAACCGCGTGGGTGATAGTTCACCGTGTGAACTTCACGTCCCTTCACCTAATCTCTGAAGAATTTTTATCCAGTCTTTCGCCTTAAAAATGTTCAAACTCATTGCTTATACCATATGCATGAAATGTTTATTTAACGTTTTTCTTCAATTTTTCAGAAATGTTGTTGGTGTCGGTTCTGTTGGGATTCGCCCTCCCAATAATGGGGGTGTATGTTCCGCCTGGACCGCGATATAAATGTCCTAGGGAATCAATATACATATTTCCATGTACATGTATTCATGGCGGCGACAAAGGACTGTACGTCAGGTGCGAAAATGCAAATTTGGCAAGCCTGAGTCTTGGACTGATCAATTTGGGCAACGACGGGGCGCCTATAGAGGAGCTTACGTTGTACAAATGCAACATAGGTCGGTGATGAAAATGTTAAAAATGGTGAAAAATATGAAATATGCCTTTTCTAATTCCACATGTTCTTTCTATAGCTCGATTTTATGGACCGGCGCTGTATACGTTGGAGGTGCGAATTTTGAGAATCGTGGAGACGCCGTTGAAACTTATCGAGGAGCACAGTTTCCTCGGAGTGAACAGGACCCTTCAGGAATTTCATTTAACTCAAAGCGAATTAGAAAAATTCCCGAAAGAGGCGTTCCAGATTCTTGGGAATCTTTCGATCCTCTGCATATCCGGCCACAACATGACCTCGCTTCCGGGGAACAGTTTTTCCGGAAGCTTGGCGGCTGCCAAGTTGGAAAAACTGGAAATTAGTAACGGTAAGGGTATTCTGCCTCTTTTTAATTGTACTCATTTCGGATGTGAGATCTTATCAGACGAAATTTCAGGGTCGTTGAGTTCATTGCCAGTCGAAGCACTCACGCCCTTGAAGAAACTGAGAACGTTGGACCTCCACGGAAACAGGATTAAGGAGTTGAAGAGAAATCAGTTTAAGGGACTGAGAGACACCGAAAATTTGGATCTGTCGCATAATTTAATAGACAAATTGGATCCCTCGCACTTGGCAGACTTGACGAAAATGGGGTGGTGCAATTTGTCTCACAATGCTATCGGCGAACTGAAAAGGTATTTTCTTACCAGAAATAAATGTGTATATACGAGGTGCGCATCAAGAGACTTATGAAAATCTCTCTTTCAATTTATCAGGGGAACTTTCGCGAGGAATTCCGTCTTGAAGGTCTTGAATTTAAATTATAATAAAATTAAGAAGCTCGACTCTAACACCTTTCGCGGAATGCGATTTTTGAGGAGATTATTCTTGAGCGACAACCAAATCAATGAAGTGGCTCGGGGCACCTTTGGATCGATTACTAGGATTGGAACAATCGACCTGGCTCGAAATTTCATCAAGAAAGTCGACTATCAAATGTTCAACCAGCTACAGTACTCAGAGGCAAGTACGAGATAAAAGTTCTAAAACAAAAATGACAATTTATATCAATCTCTGCACTGATTTCCAACAGCTGATCGACGTGTCGGAGAATCTCGTGACGGTCATAGAAAAGCTCGCGTTTAAAGATTTGTACTTGACGAAAGTCAACCTTTCGCATAACGAAATCTCGAAAATCGAGGCGGGCGCTTTCGAGAATTGCGCTAACATAACGATATTGGATTTGAGTTACAACAAGCTGGAGAACATCTCGAAATATGCATTCGACAGTGCCTCGTACGCGATGGAATTGCAGCTGAGCTATAATCAATTAACCTCCTTAAATCAAGTGAGTGATAAAGAAATCCCCTAAATTATTTACATAAATATCTTCTACGAATGAAATATTTAACGACCATTTGCTTTTCAATTGTAGGTTCCTCTTCACAATATGACAGGTATGAAGGTTCTAAACGTGTCTTACAATCTGATACATTCGGTGCCTCGGCAGACCTTTCCAAAATTGTACGAGCTCCACACAATCGACTTGTCGAACAACAACTTGTCCGAAATTTACAACGCAGTCTTCCAGACGTTGTTCAGCCTTCGGTTTTTAAACCTCTCGCATAATTCCCTGGAAAAAATCAAACCTTCAACCTTCGGGCCTCTCCCGACCTTATTGGAACTGGACATGAGTTACAACCAACTGAACGACGTCGCTCGTGGAAGTTTAACCCGTCTGGCCAGTTGCAGGTGAGAAAGATGCAGCTGCAAATATCTCCTCGCATCTCCTCATAAAAGTACTCCCCCATTTAACTGCGCGGTAACAAATTCATCACCGATGAATCTCTCTGATTATCTACATTCAAATGCATTTCAACCTATTCGACTACGAAATGGAAACAACTCAACTTCATCATTTTGCACCAACGTGTAACCGAGTGGAATTCTTTCAGGACGATATCAGTGAAGAACAACAATTTGAAGAAGATTTTCCAATTGCCGATTTCTCTGGGGTACTTGGACTTTTCGGAAAACGCTATAGAAGAAATCCCGACGACCGACGTCTGGCCTTCGATGAACGCCCTACTTTCCCTGGACTTATCAGCCAATCAGCTGGCTGATAATCTTCAGCAAGGCTCTTTTGCAAACCTGCTGACTTTAAGGATTCTCGATTTGCGGAGAAACGGAATGACGAAACCGCCAAGGGACGCCCTCGGCAGTCTGAGTAGTCTTCAGTACATATATATGCAGGTAAAAATATAAATCATAATTAATCCGTCTCTATCAACCCCTGTAAAATAATTGAATAAGTTGAAAGGCACGTTTAGTTGTATAGAAAAAATTAAAAAGGGATAAAACCGCCAAGGGACGCCCTCAGCAGTCTAACAATCAGTAGTCTTCGGTACATATATATGCAGGTAAAAATATAAATCATAATTAATCCGTCTCTATCAACCCCTGTAAAATAATCGAATAAGTTGAAAGGCACGTTTAGTTGTATAGAAAAAATTAAAAAGGGATAAAACCGCCAAGGGACGCCCTCAGCAGTCTAACAATCAGTAGTCTTCAGTACATATATATGCAGGTAAAAATATAAATCATAATTAATCCGTCTCTATTAACCCCTGTAAAATAATTGAATAAGTTGAAAGGCACGTTAAAATGTATAGAAAAAATTAAAAAGGGATAAAATCGGGGTATTTGAACATCACTGTAAAGACAGATCAAACACTAGGCGAAGTTAAATGGCCGACGTTTTACTCCTCTCGCGTCCGATACATTTTCTGCAGAGCATACCGTGATTATTACAGTTATTACAAAGTTGGCTTTACGATCCCCACATGATCTTACGTAATTACTGTACCGTTCAGAGTACGTCTTTCTGATCCGGGAGACCTGAAGAAAAGAAGATGAAGAGTCCACCCTTTACGATCCACTTCGTTCTCGGTGAAGAAGTAATTATAGTTTTGTTAAGAGCGGATTAATTGGTATAGTAAAGTCTGACAGTGAAGGAGATTAAAGAAGTCGCTGAATGAATGGTTTCCTTCCCGAGAAGAAAGGCATAGATCGCGTCTAAGTGAAGCAAAAGAGGGCAAAACGAATAGCAACGAATGGAGTCTGAAATGGAGACGGAAAGAAAAGGCGTGGAATTTGAAAAAGGATATTTCATAAAAAAATGAAAGTACACTGTAGTAAATTTCAATGTCGCGGGTAAAGCGAGGTAAACGAACGGTTTTCCTCTTAGAAGATGAGTAAGCTGCTAATAATGCTCTTCCAAGACAATTAGCTCGCTGGGAGGGTCTTTCATCTTGGGGAAAAGTAGGAAAGAAACGAGCAGTTAAAATTTTCTTTCCTGATTGGACGGTTTTTTAGTCGGTTAACTGTTCTCCCTGAGAAACGGAACCGCGATGAGGTAACTACTTAGATAACTTTTTTTTTTTTTTAATATAATCCGCTGTTGGGAAGATAACGATCTGCCATCTTATTTAGGTTCGATGAACAAATACCGGAAATGCCCTGACTGGATAAATTCTGTATTTAAATTTATTCTTCTCCAACGATACGCCTTAATCTTCCACCCGTCTTTAACATTTCAGATGATCTCTTCTAGATTATTTCTATATAACACTTATAGATTATCTCTGTATTTTAATTTTATATTTTCGTATCGAATACTTGTCAAGTAAGAGTTTATGTGGTTAAGAATAGCAACAATTTCAGGACAACAATTTGACCAGCCTCAGCAAAGCGGCCTTTGGTCGGTTACCAATAGTGTTCGAGTTGAACCTGGCGAACAATCGGATCCAGAACATCAGCATCCGGGCTTTTGAAGGCCTTTTGCAGCTGCTGATCTTAAACTTGACGAGCAATGATCTTAAAGAAATCCCGAACGGAGCTTTTCAAGGTCTGGTGTCCTTGAGGAGTCTGGACCTCTCGAACAATCAGCTGGAGAAACTGGATAACAAAACCCACGGTCTTCTGGACGACTGCTTATCTCTGGAGAAGCTTAATCTAAGTCGCAACAAAATTTCGTTCGTGACGAAGAAGACCTTACCGAACGACCCATGGATTCCGTACAGACTGAAGGAGGTCGACCTCTCTTACAACAGCATGCCGGTCGTGACTTTCGACCTCACCGTGGGTGCTAAAAAAGTGACATTCTTGAACCTGAGCCATAACAACATCAATGAAATCCGCAGATGTAAGTTGAAGTCTTCAAGGCTCACCCTAGATCCCCAAAGCTGGGATGTGGGACGTTCTTGAAGAGCCAAATTAACAGAAAAAACTGACCTCAGACGTTATCGGGAACCTAACATCCCTGGCGACCTTGGACCTCTCCTACAACGACATCAGCGATCTTGGAGGCGAAGAAGTCTTCACGCCGCCGAGGAACTTGAGCAACCTCTTCTTGGGACACAATACGTTGACTCATTTGCCCCTGGCGAAAATCCTACCCATGCCTAACCTCAAAATCCTCGACCTAGAGTTCAACAATTTCGCCAGCTTCGACCCCGGCCTTTTGAAGATCGTCCAAAACGACACCGTTGTTAATTATGTCGGTGAGGATGGACCTTTTATTAATATTTCCACAACAGTTAAGAGAAATTCATTTCTCATCCTGAAGAGTACTTGATGACGTTTAGTAAGGTTTTCCCAAATTTGTAGGAAATCCTTTGCATTGCGACTGTTACGTCAGACCTCTGAGAAGGTGGATGAGCACGCTGACAGAAATACCAGCTCAATTGTCAAATTTGGAATGCGCGAGTCCGAATTACGTGGCCAATTGGACGCTCCCGGAAGTGACGGAAGATCTGATGACTTGCAGCGAGAGGGAGATTCTTGAAGACCCGAATTTCGACATTTCTCCCGATGTCAAATACCGCGACATCGAGTAGTAAGTATCTATCGCGTCACTTCTTGCTCGTTGATTCGAGAATTTAATGTAAATCAATTTTTTCCCAGCAATAACGAGGAGGATACGTGGAAAATCACGTGGTACGTGACATCGAGAGAAGATATTGGTGATTTTTATATTGTGGTTCGAGAGGCTGGCAAAAGTAAATCGCTCTACGAGAAGGACCTGATCTACAGCACCAGGTCCTTCAAAATCGGCGACCTGCCCATTTCGACGTCGAAGTACGAATTGTGCCTGCTGGCCAGAGACTCGCAGGGAAACGTTAAACACTTCAGAAATTCCCAGTGTCGAATTTTAACTAAGTATTCCACGATCTCGTCGAGTTCTGTCACAGCGAACAGCCTCGTAGCCTTAGTGGGTATTTCCTTTTTAACTCTTATCTGAAACAACTCTCTCTCGAAGATACAAAGGCACTCCACGCCTTGCTTGAGATACGCTTTTCGGAAAGAGATGACTTTTTCGAAAAACTCAACAGACGCCCGTCGCGCCTAGACTGTATAAATGTAGTTTTACAAAGTTTAGAATTAGTGCGCTCGACTCGCGCGGCGACGTTGATCGTTGTGTATTTATTTTGTATAAAAAGACATACTAACTCTTCACCGAGTCTTCAATCGTCTATAAATTGTAGGAATTGTTTCCTCTGCCGCGTCCAGTCTTCCGAGTTTATCATAGTTTGATAAAATCACGCTACACCTTAATCGATAATTTCCTCGTCGGTTGTAAATACGAAACATTGTCTGAAAAATGAAGAATATGGTCCTCAAAGAATTACTGTATATTCTCTTAATGTTTAATAACTGTGCAATATATTCTCTAGGTACAACTCATTTGGTTAACGAATGTCAAGTCTATTAACACCCTGCACCTTTTCACCGTTTCCTATTTAATTTCTTAATTTATGAGAAAATGTTTCATCGAGAGACTCATTAAGGCGGAAATAATGTAGCGTTAGAGACGACTGTCGTTAGAAAACAATTTCCCTATTAAACATTCTTTGTCCCACGGAGCTAACATGGCGGTTGATGTCTCCAGTTAATAAAAGGCCTGATTCGCTCAAAGTCTCAAGGAAGTGAATTCCCGGAGAAACTCGCAGCCGAGATCATACAATTAATCCATGGTGCATAATTACCGTGAGGAAATGAGGTTAGGATCGCGGAAGCCGTCGAGCTTTCGTCTTGATCGAGCCTAACCTCTTAATAATCAGGTTCCAGGCACATTTTCTAAACTGACTACGTCCGAACAATCTGCATTGGCTAGCCTCTGAAAAATATAATTTAATTCCGCAAGAAGTAAAACAGTAGTTTTACTTCTTGGCTTATTCAGCCATTCTAGCAAATTCAGATAGTTCGGACGTAGTCTGTTTATTTTTACTACTTATTAGGTTTTTTCTCTAATTTTCAATAAGAACCAGGAATTTAAACGCATGGGCAAGATGACATGCATACTGAATCGGTAGTCGCCATCTTGACTACAACTTTAGTCACGACAGGACTCGCGACTACGTTAGTCACGGCATCCACGAATACCTCGGGATTTAATTGTCATTAAACGTGTAGCTGCCCATTGCGGCAATTTACATTCTATAATACATATAATTATATCCCATAATAACGTCCATTATACGGCGATTCCAGGTGACTAATTAAGGTAGGTAATTAAGATGTTAAACGCCATGTGCAGTAATTCTGAAACTCCACGGCAAGCTCGCCTGACCCCATGTGGAGTAGATAGGGTTCCAGTTACAAAAAACAAACGATTCGTGAGAAGCACACACTGAAGGTGGCTTCCTTATCCTCGAAGTCGTTTCTCTATAGTTGGCAACCGTGAAAACGTTTACTCATTTGCCGTACAGTACTTTTACATATATATTCAACCGAGAAAGACCCGTAACACGAACAATCATTAAAGTAAGTAATTTTAGATTCTACTCGAAATAGAAGCCAAGGAAACATTAATACTGGTACGAAAGTACATGGTAAGCAGTTCGTACACGTCTGGTACAGAAACGTTAGAGAGCCATGCACTAATTGCACTAACTGTGTTTTCCGCGGTATCCGTTAATCGACTTCTCACGCGTACAAAAATGAATAATTATCTGCGTTTCGTTTCGAAATCTCCGTATCTTCCCCTAGCGTTCTAATACTCGAAAGGAATTAACCCGATAAGCCCATTTGAAAAGATCTCATGGAATTTGCAATCCCCGAGATAATTGACGATAAACTTAATCTGTGCCAGGTGGTCACGTGACTGGTTCTTCGAGCCGTAACTGTCATGGCGGAATATCGGTTTATATGCTGGCTATGTGTTTGTACTATTACGTGAGTAGAGGAAGAAGGGATGATTGGTTGTTTCAGACGAAGCGGTTAGCGTTTCAGGAATTTTCAAGATGGCAGATCGGTTAGTTATGGTTTCGGGGTAATCGCAGATCCAGTTAATAAGAACCGGAACGTTCATGTGACTGATACGCGTCTTCCTTCAGGGCCCTATAAGTGTCATGGCGAGGGGCCCTACTCGCGCAAGGAAGTGAGTACGCTTAACCCGGAAGTCGCAGATACAAAGCAGATCCTAGCTTCAAATAGGTTCCTTCTCGAGCCTCGAGGCAGTCACGATTCCCATGACTCTACAGAGACAATGGCAATTTTACGGACGAGAACCGATGACGTCAGTAGGATGGCGTAAACTCGTTACAAAATGCTACTTTCACTTACGGATCGAAAATGGTGCCGCAGATGGAACCACTGGATAATAAAGCTCGGATCGTTCATAAGGCCCAAAATGTGCGTTCCTACCTCATTAACGTTATCAAATTATGTAATTAAATATACCATAAGAAGGGTCATTTGTTAGTTTTAGGCGTTCTCGGTAAGCGCTCGACCCGGGCCCACAGGCCCCATTAATCTTTATCCCATAAGTCCCAACCGGAGACGCGAAAGAAAAGAAAAGGGCACCTCACACATTAGATTGTTATAACCGGTTTTTACGCACCCATTAAATAAATCATTTCTATTTTACTTTACAAACCCTCTAACCTGCAATCTACCTCTCGGCACCGTAAGGCCCATTAATCTATAAAAGCTCGGTCAGATCGAAAGGTCCCGAATTTAAAGCAGCGTCTCCCGCCCATACGACCACCGTCTACAGCCATTAAGATTCCTGATCGGGCCCAACTCGTAATTAGTTTCGGTCCCCCAAGTCAGTCCCTTCAATTCGGTCCCCACGTTATTAAATCACTCATAACCATCCTAATTAATCCATTCGTGACTAATCAAAGTCCAAAAGTTCGAAAGCCAAGAACATCCCATCCATTCCCAAAACTCCGCCATTACCCTAAAAACCCGGCGTACTCCGAGATCGTATCAACTTCCCAAAGTAGAGCCCACCTTCCTCCGTCCATGCCCTTAATCGGGGTCCTACGTCCCAAGACATCTAAATCTCCCCCACCGCGTCTGTGACTCATCTCCAAGACCAAACCCCGTTTCCCCGTGACTCCTTTCACATATCCACACGTGCAGTCAGGATCTTTCTCTCCACCTTGGCGTCTTTTATCGGGGCCTCAAGGTTGCGTTAAAAGTCCTCGCAAACTGGCTGTCTCTCCGTTGATTTACTCCCGGGGCCCTACCCTTTGCCCGTCCTCGCACCTAAAACTCCCGTAAGCGAGTCCTCTCCTTCTCTCGGGCCCAAATCCCTCCCTCGGTTTTGCCTCCCCCGTGTCTCATCCCTAGGGCCCATATCTCGGGGCCCACTTTACACCCGCGTGCGCCTCTTGTATGTACACGGTCTCGGCGCGCGCACACTCGGGCCGCAGCGCCGCCCGCGAGCGGCGCTCGCACTTTCTCATCTCCGTAGGTTTTGTCGAGAGCGGTGCGTTCGAACTCTCCCGCCCTGGGACCGTCAGTGTCTCCCGCGGCCTCGCCTGGAAAACATCGGTCCTCTCACCTCGGCCGTCCTCCAGGCGACGCGCGCTCCTCCTCGCGTCCGTCGGAACAAAAGAAAAGAGGTTAGTCCGCGGACTAATGAGGCACTAGAGCGGGGGCCCACCTTGCTCGACGGTCTCCCCCTTCGGCTGGGCCTGCCCGCGAGTTCCTAACCTCTCCGCCGCCCCGACATGGGCGCCCTTCGCCATTTTTACTCAGCCCTCCTGTGCCTGTGCCTCGGAGCGCTCGCGCGCGCAAATGGTAAGCGATTCGCTGATATCGTGACGCAATCGTATATTTATAGATGCACTGTCACGAGCCACGGCCTCGGCTAATCCGACACTTTCTGCCAATGATAATTGCAGAAAAGTACCCAGCCAAAGAAATTCAGTTATTACCGACTACCTCTATTATTTGTCTGGTAAAAAAATGCCCCTAACAAGTTTTATCATTGCATTGAAAATATTAAAAAAATGTGTCTCGCGTGGGAGTTCTATTCTTTTTGTAAACAATTGGTGCTTCGAAGGGTCTGCATTACACATAATTATGTATCCATAAATCATTTAGAAGGGTGCAAGAGTAAGTGGAGTTCGTGAGTTGGTTATTCGTTAAGGAGTACCGGGTAATGAGTTGTTATCGCCGGCAATTAACGATTCAAAACACTAGGGGTGTATACCTCGGAACTGCATTCTCATTGCGGAGCAAGGAAGAAAATACCTGAACGAAAGTAATTCCACAGAAAATGTACAATCCCCGGAATTCAATGCATTCGAGAAGAAGCAAGGGGGTATAGGAAAAGAATAGTGGAAGAAAGGTAGCGAGCGATGTGCCGGAATAATTATCTACGGTTGAAATTCCACGTTACGTGCACCGGCGCCCCTGGCACTCGTGGCATTGTAATTGGGGTAATTAATTATCTCCTTAAAAAAAATATATATATATCTCTTACGCCCACCGAGGAAGAGAGGTGGCCGCATTCAGGAGCTATTTATCGGCATTGACTCCTCGTGTACTTAAATCCGCGATGTTAATGTAACTGAGGGGACAGCTCGTGTTCCCCGGATACATTAACGCGACGCGAAAGTACCGTTTTGTCGGCATCCTTTTTCGGCTCTTTCGAGTCTCGAGACGGTCAATACTTGAAATAGCTGCATCCGCAGCGATTTATCAGGGTCTCGCAGTTGGCAAGCGTGCAATCTCGAGCCGTCAGGGCCGTTGCGTCGGGGCTCGCGCGCACCCGTGAAGAAAACCACACGATATTCTACGTGAAAGCGAAATCCCGGCGTAAATAGTTCGAAACGCGCCTCCGTTCGCGGGTCGGCGCGCGAGGGGAAGAGGGAAGGTGGAGGGGAGGTACGGGTCCGTGAGCGGTGGTGGAGGGGAGGTTTGGGTCCGAGCGAGGCGGTGGAGGGGATAGGACCTCGGGAGGGGAAGTGGTGGGGACCCGGCAACCGTTTGGGCCGGAAGGGGTGGCGGTGGAGGGGATGGACTCTCACCCGGGAAACCGGTTGCCGGGTTGAGTGGACATTCGAGAAGAAAGAGAGAAGCCGGGACCAGGGAAAGCGCGACGGAGACGGAGAGGTGGCTACTATGGGCCTTGCTCGAAGTGTTGGACCCTCTCTAGTCGTTGTGTGTTGACGTGGATGTATTTTGGGAATTCAACTCGCGGTACTAACGATTCACCTTTCGATAACTTCATTCACTTTAACCCCAATTAAGCGAATTAGATGCACACGACGGTTTCCGTTTACCCCGAACACATATGGTCTTGCACCCCGTATGGTGCACGCACTCGATCCGGGAGAAAGTAGAGCAGAGGACCCATCCACGTATCTCTTCGATTTGAAAGTTTCGATTCGAAGAAAATGTGGCGGATGACCACAGAATCTATTTTTGGGAATGAAACCCACGGTTACTTAGAGCCCAAGTCGTGGGTGGCTGGGTGGAGGCATCCAGGGAATTCACGAGTCATCCTCGCACGGGGCTCATCCCTTACCCTGACTAAGCGGATTCTCCGCGGGAAGCCTAGTCACCTTTGTATCGGGCCTCTATTTGAACGACGTAACGAGTAGAACGAATAATCCACTAACGGGACGATTACATGCAAAGTCGCCCTTCCAATTGCTACGATTAAAATCCTATATCCCCTGCCTTACAAGACATTCATACCGGACCTTCTTTCTGAACCGAGAGGTTAGGTTGACAACTTCAACATTATAAACTTAGTTTAATCCTAACCTCAAAACCTCGGACCGATCGCGTGCTCTCGAGGCGGCCTTCGCAAGATGGCCGAGCCAATTATGTTGCGTACCGGCCGACGCGATTTAAAGATGGCGCCACCGGCCCGGTCACGTGACCCGGCTTAAGTTCCCCGTGGAAAAAGAATTCCGGGGACCCGTTACGTTAATTTTCGCGCACGCATCCCCGCGTACCCGGGATCGGGCCCGATCATTCGTGACCGCGATCAATTTGACGTGGCGCGTCCTCATTAAAATGGCCGGGCGAGCTCGCGGTACGAGATAGCGCCGCTCTCGCGAAGATCGGCCCTTACGGTTTTACTGGCCGGTTTCCGAGCGCTCGGGAGAGGAAGCGACCTTCGTGACTGGAACAACGCGCAGGCCCACGCGAGCCGGATAACATCTCTGGGAATCCGTCGAGGATATCCCGGAGAAGAGGTTATCCCCGATCACGTGACGCCCCCTGGAGGAAAAATTAAGTGGCCGATGGAAATTGAACTGTTATTGTCGAGGATAACCTCGCTAATGGGAGAACATCGGTTCGTGCAGCTTTTATTAGCTCTACTCCCATATAGGGAGGATATTCACGGCCGTGCCTACAGGGTGGCTCAGAACTGTTGCGTCAATTAGGACGATCCTAACCTCCAACATCTGCTAAGAGACTGCGGATAACAGCCAGCTGTTCCCCGACGCCCCGTAAAGTATAGGAAAAAAAGAGAGAAGGGACGATATTTCACGATATTTCACGATATTTCACAATATCTCGGGATTATTCCTCGGGCTTCTTTTTTTCCTTTTCCCCGACGCCGGAGGATATAAAGTTAGGTTATGCGCGTGAGTAATTCAGCGGCTGGAAATTAAATCGTTATCTGGCTCGGATAACCTCGCTAATGGGAGGCTGTAATCCCTTGTATTACAAAGTCGCTCCCAGTCTATCACGCGGGATAATTTCCACGGTGGTGTAAGGATTTCATTAGGATTTGTTAAGTTTTAAGGATTTTTAAAGGGTTCGTACCTGCTCCCGGGAGTTTTGCGGTGCTTAGCTGCTGTACAGGGGATTCACGAGTGGCCATTATCGCGGGGCATAAAAGTGCAGACGCTAACAACTTTACCGCCATCTTGGAGGCAGGAAAAGCACTCGGACTCCGTGCGAAATGTTTGCCTTGCGGATTTCTTGCGGTGCGTCTTCGGTATGGAAGGTCTGCGGAATTTCACGGGCGGATAAAAAATGGCCGCGGGAGCAATGGCGGCGCGGAGGAGGCCCTTGGCGGGAAATTCAAACGCGGTTGTCAGTCGAACTTCCGCGAAAAAGCGCCGATGGTCTGCGGCGGGAGATTTGAATGTCCGCCTTTACTGTTACGCTCGTAAAGCCCGCGGCAAAACGGACATTTTCGACGACGCCTCTTGAATGGTGGCTCCTCTTCGAGCACGTAGCAGCGTTCACCGTTTCTTTAATGGGACGCCGTGGTGTCTCTGATGAATAGGCGTCGTTTACATAACTCCATAACTGCGGAGGATATCTCACATATTTTACGTCCTTTCGTATTAATGGCGTCGTAAACCTAATAAACGCGTGGACGTCGCGAGCGCCACCTAAACACGTGTAAACGATGCGCTCGGACAACTTGCGAAGTCTAAGAATTGTCAAAGGAAGATCTAATAGCAAAACTAATCGTTTACACGTCAAGATATCCGACAATTCGCATATCGTTATCATTACCCGAATACGTACATTTATATACCCGTCCCTCAATTTACGCGGTGGATCCTTTCCATGTGGATTCGTTTTTCGCGAACGAGAATCGCTTCAGAGGGCTGAAGGAAAATATTGGAAATAAAAACCTTCCAAATTGTGTTATAATTTACCGCGTATGGAGGAGACTCGTGTAAAAAGTGCCACGTAAATCGAGGGAGGAGTGCACCTCGGAGATTAACCTGCTTAAGTACAGCTTTCACTAGTACGAGATTATAATTCTTTTATTATTCCCCTTTGGGAATTAATTCACATAATTCGTAATTTATTTAAGAATATAGTGCAGTATTTGCAAATAAAGCTTCCGATCGAAGGAATTCGCAGAGATAAAGGAATTCCCAAAGTGGAAATTGTCTTTATTGGTTTTATATGATAAAATCCAACATGGCGGCGTTCCTTAACATGGTTAATGGGCGCGGTTTGAAGTCCTGCGTCCCTTGATGGGATTTCTGTTTCGGCGGTTTAAGGCGAAGTGAAACCCCCTTCAAATCAGTCGATTCGAATACAACACTTCTTTTTAAGGGTATTAGACCAAACTGTCCGAAACTTTGACACATCACTCCTGATCATCTAAGAATTGTCCTGACACATTCAAAATTTGGATCTTTGGAAAAAATGGTTTAACTTGGTCCAGACCAGAACCAAAATGGCGTCGAGCTCTCATATTTCGATCAATATACAATTATCGAAGGCTCTGATATGAGAAACGAAAGGGTCAGGACAATTTTACGACAATTTAGAACACTTTGATAGTCGATAAACTCGCATTTGAACGGGATAAGGGCAAAAAAAGTGTTGTATACGCTTCTATGCTAAAACGATGGGAATACGAGGTCTCGGACTGAAAATTTAATTGACCTGGAAATCACAGATGGCGCAGGGGGTCCACCTGCGGTCAATTAGGGCCCCAGAAAGCATGAATCCAGAGGATTTCTGGAGTTTTACTTCGATTTCTTTATAATTATTGTACGAAAACGACAGGTGAAGTATGCCATTTGGTACAATATCCAATATAATTCGATACAGCTGTCAATATAAAAACGAACGGCGGCAACGTAGGCATTTAGAAAAATCTTCATCGACGACGATCAAGTTCCTCGACGTGTTTCACTTCACCTTAATCTTTCTTAAATCGAGAGCGATCTGCAGGGTTCAGAGACACGAGCAGTGGTCAAAGGAATCTCCTGAGCGATTCCTTTTGAGAGCGTGACCTCTTCCCCGAGGACCAATGCGTGTGGGACTGGAAAATGCGCGTGTGGACGGCCGACCAA